AACAAAAGCAAAAAATGAATGAAAAGCACCAAAAATGCCTTAATGCAAATATATCATGATTTAAACTATTAAAATAAATTATTTTACAATATCAATAGATATATGTTATACTTCTTTATATTAAAAGAGAAATTTCTTCTATAAAATATACTTTGAATGCAAAATTCATAATAATTAATAATAAAATCAGTAAAAGTAAGTTTATTTTTCCACTGGGCTTCATAGCTAACACATGAAAATTTGGAGTAATAGCTTTTTCAAAATAATAAGTATATTTTGTATTATACATACTTTTTTCTTACTTGCATTTATTTTAAAATACATAATAGCAGAAAATTAGGATATATCTGTTTATTTACCAACAGGTCATGTAACAGATATAGCATCTTCACCTTTCAAGGAGTTGTTTATAAAAAAATTCTAATGTGATAAAGTGAATTGCGTAAATATATATTGTATTATGCATATTTAATTTAATTTAATAATGTTGTTATAATGTATTATGAAGGTTTTTTTTTTTCACACACATATTGGAATATATTATGCAAGCATTTGTTTGTATACATGGATTGGTATAAGAATATGCAGGGAAAACAAATACGGAATTTCCTATTAAAAATCCTGTGAAAAACAAAAAAAATCCATAACTCAAGAATCCCTTGTCTAATTTTAATGAATTTTGGCACTGCCCTTGGTAGGGGTTCAAGGTAGGTTCATACACCTAAATTGGTTTGGTAATTATGTATTGTTTAAGCTGTATCTTGGGAACATCTGTACATACATTCAAGATTAGAATTTTAGTATTACATATGTATGTATATATATATATATATATATATATATATATATATATATATATATATATATATATTAATATATATATATATTAATATATATACTATATATAGTATATATATATTATATTTAGTATATATATACATATATATATATATTAATATATATATATATATATATATATATTATATTTAGTATATATATATATAGTATATATATATTTAGTATATATATATATATATATATATATATATATATATATATATATATATATGTATGTATAAATATATATATATATATTATTTTTTGACTAATTCTTCTATTTTTTTTTTATAACAAGCACATATTGTCATGTAGTAAATTTGTTTCTTTTAAAATGATGCATTGAACTCTTATGACTTTGCCTGTAAATAATGTTACTAATTCTAAACTTATTAAACAAATCCTATCAGTGATTGATTTAGAACATTTTTTGCATTCAAAGCTACTTACAGTATCAACAGATTTGGGGGATTATAAAGATATATATATATATATATATATATATATATATATATATATATATATATATATATATATATATATATATATATATATATATATATATCTGTATGTGTGTGTATAAATAAGCATACATTTGTATGAAGATAGTGAGACAAATTGGAAAAGCTATAAATGACACATTTTGCTGAATGTCTGCTGCTTTCAGCTTTATGTCAAAATGAAAAACTAAACTGTGTGAGCTTACAATGACTAATTGTTAATAAATTATGATTGAATTATAGTGTCATAACTGATAGTCTTTATGTGTATATTTAAATAGATCTTTCAACATTTTGCAAAATATATTTGAATCTTTTGCCATAAGTTAATAATTCTTTTGCAAAGACAATGACAATAAAACTCAAAACTAAACTTTCAATAAGGTTGGATGTTTTTCTTCTTTCATTGTTTACAGGTAGAATATAATACAATGTAAAAGTTAAAGTAACTTTTTGAAAATTAATTATAGCTGTATCTTATCAAATAATTTTTTTCTCAGTACAACAGTATTTAAAATCATAAATTTCTGTTATTTTTATATTATCAAACAATGAATGAGTTGTTCCTTCATTATAAAATTGCATCGTCCAATTTTTGTTAGTTCACATTATTAATCATATTAATACTGATATTTTTGTAATTTTTATTGAAACTTCTTTTTTCTTAAAATGTTTATCACTATTATTCTATTTGCAAGCATTATGCTCTAATATTTTCATAAATAATACCATAATATTTATCAGATTTTATTCCTACATTTTCTTTCTTATCAACACTACTAATAATGCTATTCTGCCATAACTATTATTCATTTTAAATACCATTTGATCTTTATCAAAGTGTTGGTTAGATTCATGATGATGTTAATATTATCAAAATTAATTGCCTAATTATTCTCATCATTATAATACATAACATTGTCAATATCATTATCATTATTATGGCTATTAATATTATTTATATAATTAATACTTTTATTAATGTTGCTGATGGCATGTGACTCTGGATGCTGTTACTGCCTTACTGATTGATATCAGTGCAAAGACTAGAGGTTCAAGGGCAAAGAGGAGGAAATGGCATTGAGAGATAAACATAAGGATAAGCTGGGAAAATTTCCAATGGGTGGTGATATAAAGATGTATGGTGTTCAAGAGAACAAACAAGATGAACTCAAAATGAAAACTGAAACTGAATGTGTTGGAAAACTATGTAAAAATGAAGAAAAAGTGCAAAGTCAAAAAGTTAATAATGAAATTAGAAGAAAGAAAATTGTTGGACATTTAGTTACAGAGAGAATGAAAAAGGTAAAAAGACACATAAAGAATAAAAAGAAACAAAAAGCTGATGATCGGGAACAGAAGGAAGATATAAATTAAAAATAAAAACAATAGTAGATGAATGGGTAGAGAGGAAGAAGGATGGTATATGAAAATATAAAATTAAAAAGGGTGAGATTATGTAGAAAAAGAATTAGGGTTTCATAAAAATAAGTAATAAATATATACATTAATATGTAGTCTTATGGAATGAAGATTATCATATAACATTTACTTTAATTAATTGCTTAACCATAATTCAGTTATATAACTATTAGCATAATAATCAAAGATATATGATGTGGTTATTTATGTATGGATCAATAATTCTGCTCAGCATTTGTGCACTCTTCCTAGGATCAAATTATTATTATTCCCCAACCCTTTTCTTAGGATCAGTGTAGTATTTGTGCTCTTTGCTTAACTTAGTATTTGAAAACTAATCTTACTGTATTATTCAAGAAGCTGAATATGTAGTGAATATGTTACTTGCCTGTTTACCTTCAGGTTAGGCATCAGAGCAGGATTCCTTTTTATATATCACCAGTAGCAAATATTTACCTGGCTGATAGATTTTGGTTTTCACATGCATTTTGTCTTGTCTAGCATTATTTATTCAAAGAGAATAATCACTTTTTCTTTTGTCAGTCTCTTGATTTGATGATTTCTTTTTTTTTAACTACACTTTAAACAAAGATTTTTTATTTTGTTTTCTTCGTTCTTAAAACAATAAAGTTGGAATTTATGAAAAATTTTTTGAAATATTAAAATGTTTAAATGTTTGAAACTTCTTTTTACTTAATTATATTATAATGCCTGTTTCTCTGAGTCAATTTTAGTTTTTTTAATTTTTGGGCTGGTCACTTGGAGCTTACACAGTGGCAGCAATGATTATCCCCAAAACAGGTCCCAAATTCAAATCTCTCTACAGTGGTGACTTAAAGGTACAATACATAACATAAATATTATGATATAACATTTTATCTCATCAATTACTGATGACTCTTAATGTCTGTGATTATTTAACATTGGCCAATGAGATATTGCATATTTTATTTCTTCATCAATATTAATACATAAAACAAAAGTGAAAAATTGATATTTATTCTATGCCAGCAAATCAAACTCCACTATCAAACTGCACTGCCCTGTGTGATAAACTAGGATAGTTACTATAAAACTTGGCTGTATATTATAATAATATTGGTGTTTGGGTGCTTCCTAAAGTGCAATTGTGAGCAAACTAGACTTAAAAAATCATATATTGTATAATATGAATGTCAGTTATATCAAGAATAGTAACAATACCTAATTAATGATAACATTTGTCTTGTTAACTTTTAAAAGTGACTTCAGCATTCAGCGTTATCCCTCATCTTTGAAACTAAATATTGCCTTGTTCTTCCTAACTTTGAGTCAGAATCTTCAGCATGCTTTACTTTCATTTTTACTATTTTTATTTTTATTTTGACTAAGCTAAAAATTATGTACTTAAACTGGTATATATGAAGAACTTTTTCACCTATTTTTATATATATTTAGACACACACACACACACACATATATATATATATATATATATATATCATGAAAATAAAAAAATGTTTTGGGGCTATAAATTTGAACAACCAATTTTTCTTCTTGCTTTCAATAAATCTTATATAATGCCCATTTCTCTGTTTTGTAATCAATCTGAAACAAATTTTATCAGTTATTTTAAACTTAAAATTATTATAAACTTTATATTTTTATGTATATATAGTGAATCAAACTCCTCTCTTCCATTTGACAAACAAACAGACTTACTATTCTATAGCAAAAGCATGGCTTTATAAATCTCATAATAAGATACTTTGTCAATGTTCACTCCCAAGTTAAATCACTGTCAGTATACCACTAGCTGCTAGTATGAACATATACTAATGAAAAAATAAAAATGAAAAATGATTCCCACTCATGTTAAAAAATATTTATACATCTTCAAAGCAGCAATACCATAAGTATATGTTAGTTGAGAAATACTCCTGCTATTCAGCAAGTCAACTGACATGCTACTAGATCTCTGATTAGAATAAAAGATTATCATGAAAACAAAAAGTTTGGATTTTAAAAATAATTTTCTCCTTACTATTATTTAATTGAAAATTGATTATATCCATCTACTAAAAATTTCAACATGTGAGAAAAAGGGAGAAAGGTTCATATTCATATGAGAAATAAGAATTAATGGTATATATGTACCAAAATAAGCCTTGCCTCTCCATGTTAACTTTAAAGATAAAAAGTGATGAACTTTGAATGGATGCGATCAGCAAAACAAAATAGCTGCTTCCATTTCAACAGGCATTAAAGTAAAAACCAAAGTTGTAAATAAAAGAAAGTACAAAGAACAAATGTAAAAAAAAGAGACAAAAATAGGTAAAGGAGCAGAATAAAAAAGCTAGAAAGGAAAGAAAAAGAGGAGACAATGTTGGGAAAGAGAAAAGAATACAAAAAAGTGAATGAGTAGGGGAACAAATAAATAAATGAGAGTGAAGGAGAGCTATAAAAATGAAGAGAGAAAGTGAAAAAGGAAGGAATGTAAAAATGGTTGGGGAAGGGATGATGAGAAAGGATAAATGGGAAAAAAAATAGAAAATTAATAAAAAAAATAAAAGTAAGAGGATGAAATAAAAAATTATGGGAATTTTCCCATATAAAAAAATTATTAGGTGTACAAGGAAAGAAGGACACTTTAGTGTGAAATTGATCAGAAAGAATTTTCTTATTTTATAATAGTTTTAAATTGAAAAGTAAAGAAGGCTTGCTCAAAGTATTCTTTTGAGCACTTAATAAAAATTAAGTTGGGTAAAGAGGAATATTCGTGAAAACAGAACTTACAATTGATAAAGTTAAAAATGTTCCTTGTTGAAGGTATACAGTGAAAGTTCTTTCATAGTTGTTAATATTCTGACCTGTCAGCAGTTGAGGGCAAATGTAGCAGTAGTGTGTTGGTGAAGAATGCTAAATTTTGGTTAACAGTGATGTGACAAAGATTTGGTCTGCATTTCTTTGAAGTTGGTTTCAGAAGAAATTGTTAGTTTTTAGTTTTGGTTATGTTTTCTGGATCTTCTTTTGACTCTCAGCTGCTAATATTAATTTTTCAGGTCATCCTCATATCTGTGTGACTGTCCATCCTGACAATGCATGAATGAATATTGATTTTCACCAGCCAGTGACCTTGTTTTTATTTAGTTTGCAAGGACCACTCAGTTATCTTATTACTGGTTTGAAATTCCATTCGTCTGATTGGAGGAAAATAATCCAAGGAAAGAGTTTTCCTTCTCAATCCATTTTCCCAAGCATTAAATTTTTATTGCCCCACAAATAGGCCCAAAAGATTTATCAAGAAAAGGCTATCCGAACACCTCATTGCTTATTAAAGTCTTCACTTGTAGGCTTACAATTTTTCACATAAATTTTTATAAAATAAAAAAGAATGAAAAAGATATGCAGTCAATAGGAAAGAGAAGATGCATCTTCATCCTTGTTTTGTTACAAAATTTATGTTAATGTGTTCTTAGAAATGTTGTCAGTGTATATCCAGATGCTTGTTTTCTCCTTTTATCACTAGCAAAATTTCATGCAGACAGAGGCCATTCACTTAAAAATATCCAGTGACATGTATGGAAAGAAATAACACATAAATTCTTTCTGTGCATCCAATATCATTTCTACATAGCTAAGCTGTAGTGATTATTTTTTTTTACTCTGCTAAGCACAGATCCCTACATAGTATTGAATTCTTTACTCAATCTACTTATGTAGCCTTTTATTAGGATAATTAAATACAAGTATAAAAAGAAGAATTAAGAAGAGACTCTTGCATATTTTATTTTTAGTGCTAAGTGTCTGGCACCTCATATTCTAAATTACTTTCAGAGAAGGAAATTTCTATTCTTAAACCAAGTTTGTTATATTATTTCTCAGTAGCAGAATGCTGCAGGAGTTGTAATTTAGCTATCAGAAGAACAAAATTTACAATTTTGTTAACTGGATAATATATTACTCCTGCTTATGCATCCCTTTGTCAGAATCTTGTATGCAGTCTCTTTTATACTACACACCTTCCAGTAAATTTTTTCTGTTTTATATGCATTCTCATATTTTTAAAAATTTATTTATGTGATCATATTGAGAAAACTGATATCGTTCATTTCACATCTCCATAAATATATGAAATTATTAAGCAATCTTGCAGCTGTAAACAGAAGATATAATTTGTAGCAGATAAATGAAAACAAATAACATGTTTAGGAATGAATAATTGACATTTATATATGCACACTCATAGGTGTGTAAGTGTGTGTACACATACATTGGCATAAATATAGAAATAAGAGAAAAGGATGAATAAATGTCAAATGAAAATTTTGGGTAGCAAACATCTCTCTCTTCCGCCCTCTCTCTCTTTTCTCTCTTTTATATATATATATATATATATATATATATATATATATATATATATATATATATAGGGTGTGACAAGTATTTGAAAAGCTTTTTGAGGTCTTAAATGGAAGATGATCTAACATGATGTGCCATATATATCAAATTTTAAACTTCTCTTTCAAATGTATCTATAGTATCATACCAGTTTTGAAGCTGCCACAGGAAATGAAAAGTACAGCATACTCATAGTAGTAGGTGCCAACTTGGAGATACCCAGGTTCTTGAAAATGGACAGATAGATGTGAAAAATGACAAATGTCTCCGTGCAGAATTTTCATGATTGTCAGCCCACCTAAAATACTTGTCATTGAGAGGGAGACCAACCAGTCCCCCAACAATACCAAGGACTTGTTGAAAACTGCCATTATGAATGTGAAATTACTTTATCCAGGTATGGTCTTTTTGAGGTTGCACCAAGGCCAAATGTTTTTTTTTCTAATAACCTTTTTCTGTTTTTTTTTTAAGTTGAACATTTGTACAATATACTGATTTTTATTCTATTGGACATCTTTTTAATTTTCTTACATTATAATTGGTTTTCAACTACCTGATGCTTTTGCTATATATTAGAATATTCTGAAAGTAATCAGAAATAATATGAGAACAATTGTAAGTTAAATTTATTAAAATATTATTTATCAAAAATGTAGTCACTATCATTTTCAATGAATTCAACCCAGCAGAAAGGCAAATTTTTAATTCCACATTTAAAGAAATTTGTGTTTTCAACTTCTCTTTTTCTGAATATTCTGCCTCTTAAAATGTTCTAGTGATTGAAACAAATAGAAATCTGTAGGTGCTAAATCTGCTGTGTATAGAGGATATGAAAGAACCTTCCATTGTAATTATTTCATTTTTCCTTAGGTTTGTTTTGCAGAGTGTGTTATGACACTTTGGTTAATGAAGAAGTGCAGTGTCAAAAGGTTGACTGGTGATCTAAGATTTATTTTAGGAGGGAAAGATATTTTTCTGTGTTAAAAATAGAATTCTAATGGATTTTTAGAATTATATCACTTTTGAGTGTAGTGTAAAATGTTAATTTACAGGAGAATCGTGAACTAGCTGTTGAAAAAATCAAGACAGTTGACAGGTAGTTTAATTGACAAGTGTTACTGAAAATCATCCTGGCTGATGTTTTCAAAACAACTCACTGAGTTAGTAGCAGGGACTTTTGAGGATCATCAGTGGAAATTGGAGGGTTTAATTTAAAGATTACTATTGCTACTGATCTTTATTAATTATGTCATCTGAATATTCTGCTGATAATTCATTGGTCAGTGATTATCTAATGATTTTTCACTGACCAATCAAATAAGCTTTAATAAGTGATGCCAGGCAAAAGACTGGGGTGAGAAGAGAAATTTCCAAAATCACTGTGAGAGTGGCTACAGAAGCCAGCTGCTAATTTTTCTTTCTTTTTATGTGCCATGTCCTGAAAGGATATATATGATCATGGCTCTCCACCTCCCTCTATCCCATGCAACTTTCAACAAGTTCCTTCTCTCTCCTTTCTCCCCCAGACTATGTTTTGTCATCCACTTGCTTAAGCCCACCAGGTATGTCACGAAGAACATTTAGTCCACCTTACCGCTGGGAGAGACAGCGGTGCCAACCACAAATAAACCAGTCCTGAAAGCAATTTTTCCTAATGAGATTCCTTTGAATCTCTATTCTACTTGTCCAACCACTTTGAGATAATTAGTTGTAAGTGCAATCACCTGTCAATCTCCCTATTGCTCATTTCCAGTTTGATATATTTTTAGCTTTTATTTTCTGTTATGTTGTATATATATATATATATATATATATATATATATATATATATATATATATGATTTCTAATCATATCATAATGAACCCCATTTACCAAGTACCACTTCTGTTAAAAGTTGCCAACATCCTGGTGAGTATATGATTAAACCAGTTAGACTGGGTTTCAATCAAAATGTTTGATATCCCTTCATCAACCTTCCTTTCCATGGATCTATTAAGACAGCATGAATTCAGAAAGTATTGATGGAGTGACACTGTGGAACTGGCTGGATCCAACCTATGTTTGCCAAAGTAAAACAACTCCATTTCACAGAAAACACATGGTCAGTGTGTCCTTGCATGGAGAATAACATCTTTTTTGTTTATCAAATCATGAAATTTTCAGTGTAATGCTTTGTTTATCTCATCAAGTTGCTACCAAAAAAATACATCAGCAGTGATGGTCCTTCTATAGCACTTAATGGATGATACATTACATATTCCATCATATATGCTGCATCCATCAGTCTCAAGAGACCTTGGATTTGTGCCCAAAGAATAATGCCTCAGCTGCTGATGGTGGCACAGCATCTGTTAAGGTTGTACTGGCCCACACAAGAGTGACAGTCTCGATTGCAACAATTAGATGTGAAGATGCTCTCACCTTGTTTTCTTTCTACCAAGCTCTGTTTCTCCTTTCTTCACTCCAACCCTCAGTGTAAATTACCTCTCCAACATGAGCAATCTTTGGAAATATTTTCCCACCTATTGATGTCCATGTCCATGACCTCATGTCCCTTTTGCAGATGTCCTTAAAGCAGAGATGAGGTTGCCTTTGTACCCTTTTGTCAGTGGCCAGTTCCCCATACAGAAGGAATGCTTGGTGCCGACCATGATCCAGGATACTTGTATCCCTAAGCCTCATGCACTCAGTGAAGAAGGCTCACTGTGGTGAGACAATACCTTATTGGCTTGGGGCTGCCCAGCTTGAGGCAGGTGGTCGCTAACCAGTAAGGCATAATATCCTCTACCTCAGTCAAAAGCAATTCTTGGCATCTAGCTCCATGCCGATCAAGCATTGACATAACTTTTAAACTTTTCTTGTTTTGTTGTTGTGGTGAGGTGACACTAGAGTGTCTTCTCCAGGGTGCAAGCCTGAGCAGGATTTGATGAATGATTGGCATTTGCCCATGCAACATGTCTCCCTTCTCCATGCCACCAATGTTTTCTAAGGGAAAGGCATCAGCCAATACAGTTTGACACCAGTGTCATTGCAGGAGTTGCCAGAACAATGTTGAA